GCATCCAGGGAAGGGTGGGTTTTCTATAACCTGGGCTTGCCTACTGCAGCGCAAAGCCAGTGTCAGAAATGCACAGAACTTTGGCCACTAGAAAGCAAGCATCGCAATGGGATGGGGGGAAGGGCATTCACCAGGTGGACACACCTGAGGGGACACGGCAAGCCTGTGGAAGCCAAGGCGAGACTGGTGGCCTACCTGTCCCCTCGGCTCACCACCGTCCTGTGTCCCTTTCAGTCTCCTGGAAAAACCATTCTGCTGAGGCCCAGCCCAGAGAACTTCACACCTGCAAAGATCCAGGTCTCGCAATCAACAGCACATCACACCTGATTTCACACTCCCCTCTGTTGTCGGGATCCGCACCCACGTGTGCGACACCCAGCGACAATCCTCCCCAGCATGGCACTGAGGGCACAGCCTCTGGGTGACCACTCACACGTAGCTTGAGCTCTGCCCCCGGTCACTCCCACAGTTCCTCCCCTCCTGCAGAGGGACCTCAGCACGGCCAAGTTTCGACGACCTCCCTATGGTGCTGTCTCTCCCCGTCCCCATCCCAACACGCATGTACCGACTCACAAGTAAACAGGTGTTGGACATCCAGAGATGGGTATTTGGTACAGCAGTTACACAGTCCCATGGAATGCCCACATCCCAACTCACAGTGCCTGAGTTCAAGTCCCGGCTCTACTTCCTATTCCAGCTTCCTGCTAATGTGCACCCTGGGAGGCGGCAGGCCATGTTGCAAGTAGTTGCATCCCTGCCACTCGCGTGGGAGACTCGGATTGAGTTCCAGGTTCTTGTCTTTGCTCTGGTCCAGCCCGGGGCTATCGGTGGGCATCTGGGGAGTGAGCCAGGGGATTGAAGATCTTCCCTGTCTGTCTCTCAGTCTCTGCCTTTCAATTTGATATGTAATACGAGTTGTAGAAAATCATTATCATCCATGAAAGACCTCAAAGCCTGAAATGCCGCATGGTGTAGAAAACTCAGCTGTTAGAATCAACTCAAGTCCTCCATTTTCAAGGTACCTCTCCCCCCACAGATATTAACCTGGGTAACATCTGAGATGATTCAGTTAGCTCCATTTGCTCATTTGCACAACCTTATTTTGACCAGGTTAACTTGCAAGCTTTCTTAGCTGTGTTAACACGGTGAGAAGATCCTATTCCCAACTCACCGTACAGCCACCTACTACAAATATGCTGTCCTGTAGCCTCTTTCCCAGCTTCCTCCTCACTGTCAGCCACTTCCTCTCTCCTTCCAGTTTGCTGTGTCTGCTGTGAGAGAGATCCTCAGGCCTGAGGGAGGAGACCCTGGACCTCACAGCAAAGGTGTCCAGTGAGTAGCTGACGGCAGCCGTCTGAGTGGCTCAGGACACTGGGGGCCTTCTTCTCAGCCATGTTGCCAACAGCTAGTGGCTGCTGGATGTGCAGCCCCAGAGAGGAAGAGCACCAGTGTGCCCTGGGTGTGCACACTTGGCTCTGGCCCTAGTTTCTGACAGCTCTGGGGTACGTATACTCTGAAGGCACAACCACAGAGTTGCACTGTTCCATGCCCTTAAGATTTCAAAATAAGACGAAAGGGTTAGTGTAGGCCATTTTTTCCTCTCCCTTCCTTCAAATATCAGCTCAAAATTGACGTCTGAGAATTGGTAATAGGTTCAACACTTTCAATTCGCAAAGCATGCTGCACGCTAAGCAAGCGCTCGGCCCAGGCCAGGCAGGCGGCGGTGGCGAGCGCCCTCTGGTGTGCGTCTCTGGAACCGAGCGGCCCTGGCAGCTTCCATCCTGGAAAACCTGGGGAAGGCACAGTGCAGGGAGGGGGGGGGTCCCCACGGGGGTCCCGGCGGGCGCGCTCACTTCCCTGTCACCTCCCTCCGCCCACCAGCGTCGAGGTCCATGCTCAGACCCCCTTTGGGAGGCTGGGAGGCTGGGGTCACAGAGGTTTGGAAACAGGCTGAGAGTTACCCAACTAACAAATCACAGGCCTGGGATGGACGGCCCGCTCCCCAGATCCCGGGAGCTTTCAAGCGCTGTTACGAAACCGTCTGGAGAAGACAGCATGGAAGGCAGGATTGACAGCCGCACGGGGAGGGAGGAAAGTTCGTGAGGCTAGGGAGGCAGCGCCACGGGGCGGGGAGAAGGTTACCTGGTTGAGTGGAGAGAATACACCTGGGCAGGCCAGGCGGGCGGCTCAGCAGAGAGGCAGAGACTGAGTGCAGTCTGTTTGGGCTCCCTAGGTTTTTAAGGGAGTCTGTTTACCCACTTCCCCCTCTCCTCCAGGACAAAGGATGGGAGTCCTGGTAGAAGGGTTTGTTGGGGTGAAAATTAGCAAATTCCTCCCCAGATTTGCTGGCACTGGGAAGAGTAGGGGGGCTTCCCTTAGGGCATCTGAGAAGGTTGTATTGCTCCATGTTATCAGGTAACCCCTTTGGTCCTGAGGAGAGAATTCTCCTGGGAGCTTTCCTTGGGGGAGGGGCTGGGACCACCTGGGGGGTGATCAGGGGCTGGGCAGGACTTTT